AATCTGGGAGATAAATCTATGCTACACTGCTGTGTCAGCAAACTTACCATTTGCTGAATAAAAGCTGATAAGCAGATCAATTTAAACAATCATAACAATCAAGCCATTCTAATGGGATTTACCAACTCTAAAGAGTGAGTACGCTAGATATTAAAATCAGTGTTAAAGGCTAGAAAAAGAATGTTTACAAACTTCTTCCTTGCTTGTATATATTCCATGTAGTTTAACATTTTTTACTACATGCAGCTATTTAAAATAGTTTTGATAATGTGTTTCATGTCCCTAGTATAAATCATTGTTTGCTCATCTTATACTTAAGTATTACTGACAAAGATTGCAATAAAAAGTATAACAAATCTAAGAACTTAATTTTAATTTAATGTTCCTTTAACTATGACATTCCTCTGCTGTGGTCCAATATACATTTTCTTACTAGAGTTTAAATATACCCTTTGATATAACTCAAATACTTTTAATGTATAGTGTTCTTAGAAGTGGAAGTACACAAAAAATAACATCTATTACAGAATCAGCATTTTTGTGGCATAAAATGCAGTATGAAAATGTTTGAGTTTAAAAATAAGCCAGTTCTAAGATGTACAACACATTAATAGATTCATTTAAGGAGTTTCTATTTAAAAAAAAGATAATGTACTTCTTGTATTTGAAATCATGTCATAATATAAATATTGCTTAGCTGGAAAACTTTTATTCCTTTATTCTTTTTTTAAATGGAATATAGTTACATTAAGAGTCAGCAAAAGCAGCTCAAACAGCAAATCCTTTATGAGAGAATTTAGAAGCAGGACATTCAGAATAGATTGTTTATAATTTTGTAGGAAATATAAAAGCCAAAAGATAATACATAGTTCTGCTGAGAATAACCTGTTTTATAGGTTTAATTTCAAGGATTTAAAAGGGCACTGGTATTGTTATGTATGGGCATATTTTTTTCAATTAAAAAATCCAGATTCCATGAACGTTTCAACATCACATCATTTTATTTATGTGAGATAAAACACATGGGAATCCATTCTGTGGGAAATGGAAAAATTTGTCTCTAAATCCAGGCATTTGCTAGCGTAACTTTGGAACTACATGCCACTCAGCAGATCCGCTAAGCCAATGACAGATTGGCTGTTCTTTATGGGATATACAATTATTAGGTACTCTGCTTTGTTCACATTATTTCTAAACCATCCTTCAGCTTGCATAAACCCCTTCTTCTTTCTTGATGATGGATCTGGTTAAACTCAGAAACGCTGACTCATGAAACAGATTAGAATTTAAATGCTGTGAGAATTCATTGCCTTGAAATATTAAACAAGTTCAGCCTTTAACTCTCACTCTTTGCTCTTTTGGATCTAAGGTGCATGTTTGCATCTTTACCTTACAGAGGCTAGGCATAATTTGCTTCTGTTGATACAGAGCTTAAGAATAATCTGGGTGCTTATGAATTAATCAACCACCACCAGAGCAACTGGTAAAAGAAGAATGCAAGAGTAAGTATGATACTCAGTTAGGTTACATACAAGAATGAACCAATGAATGCATAAATGGGTGGAACAACAAATTGGTGTTTCTCTCTCTCTCTCAAATTAATCAATAAAAATATTTTTAAAATCTATCAAAAAAAGGTATGGCATTTGTGGATCAGGGTTACTGTGGTGAACAGTGTATATGAGGAATTTAAGTTTAAAATGATCCAGAAACAGAGAGAAAATGGGATTTCAAGTAATACAGAATCATGGAGAAAAAACATTCTTGTTTTTAACATGTCTGCAATAAAATAAAAATCCATTCTGCTCTGAAAATGTTATACAATCTTCCTAGGTAATAATGGCACTATTTAACTACCCTCATCATCTTAAAATTATTTGTTCACCAAATTCGCAACCTATGGTTTCTAACCCTAATTCTTGGCACATAACTGGTGTCCAGTATATATTTATTGAAAGAGTCTTCTTATGTTTGTGTAACAGCAACATTAGCCTTAATACATAATCAATCCATGGTCTAATTATGTTCGTTACATGCGGTTATGGCCTGGATTGTGTCCCCTAGAAATTCTTACACTGAAGTCCTAATCCCCAGTAGGTACCTAACAATGTGACTGTACTTGGAGAGAGGATATTTAAAGAGATAATTAAGGTAAGGTAAAGTCATTAGGGTGAGCCATGGTTCAACATGACTGGAGTTCTTATAAGAGGAGGAAATTTAGCCCTGACTGGTATATCTCAGTGGATTCAGTGCTAGCCTGCAAACCAAAAGGTTGCCAGGTTCAATATCCAGTCCAGTCAGGGCACATGCCTGGGCTGCAGGCCAGGTCTCCAGTGGGAGGTGTGTGAGAGGCAGCCAGTCAATGTTTCTCTTATACATCGATGTTTCTCTCCCTCTCTTTCTCCTTCCCTTCCCCTCTCTCTAAAAATAAATAATGCAAATCTTAAAAAAAAAGAAAAAAGAAGAAGGAATTTAGAAACAGACATGTACACTTGAGAGACCATGTGAAGACACAGGAAGAAGATGGCTATCTATAAACCAAAGAGAGAAGCTTGAAACAAATTCTTTCCTTGTGGCTCTCAGAAGATTCCAATTCTGCTGACACTTTGGTCACAGAAGTCTGGTCTCTGAAGTTGTAAGAAAATAAATTTATCTTGTTTAAGTGGCCTAATCTGTGGTGTTTTGTTATGGAAGCTTTAGCAAACTAAGAGAGATTTTTTTAAAACTAATAGAGATTATTTTTCAGTTGTGAATAAATTATCAGACATTTCCTATTGAAAAAGTTTCAAAATTGCTTAGTTTTTAAGCATATTTAGGAAAAATTAAGTAACGTCGCTGAACCAAGAACTGACAACATCCTTTAGAATATTTCCCAGGACCCTCTGTGCTACACTTATCCTGACCGCTATTCCTGTCCCAGCCCATGCATGCTCTACGCAAGATCAGCTTGGAAACTTTGGTGAGAGTTAAGACAAAAATTCATAAACAAAACAAAAAAAAATGAGAAATAGACCCAGAGATATAAAAAACAAGCTGATGGTTGCCAAAGGAAAGGGGAGTAGGGAGATGGGAATAATAAAAAATTAAAAAGAAGAAAATAAATTAAAAAAAAAACAAAAAGTCTCCTAAACTTATAAAAGCGGTCATTAGACCAATGCCATTAGGCACAATGGATTAGCTTTATACAGAGCAACATACATGAATTCTAAAACCAGTGTAAAAAAACAAAGAAATAGGATAATGCAATATTACATAACAATAGGCAGCTTGACACAGCTATTAAGAATATGGATTCCACTGCCAGTTACCAGAAGTATAGGTTTTTTGTTTTCTCTTGAAATACAGAATTTTATTTAGAAACTGTTTAAAGTAGAAAAAAACCCTGTCAAGAAAGACCAGGTGGTAGCACTACTGTTATTTGAACAATGGCTAGTTACTTGTATTTTTGGCATTGTTAATCACTGAATCTGGGTTTACCTCTGAATTCCACACAGAGCATGTACTACACAACAATTTATCATAAAACACCTGCTTTCTACACACACGTTTCAGGACAAACTACCACCAGAAACAGATTGGTACAAGTACATTGGGGGCGGAGCAATCTCAGTAGTGGGTGACACACAATTTGCAGAATTCTGCCATACAAAGGAACTGAATGGGCTGTGGGCAAAGCAAGTGAGGGACTGTTAAGGAATGAAATATTTGAAATATTAATAATTAATTCAGAAATGGTCTGTATTTTCCGTAAAAAAAAAGTAACATTTAATAACATGCTAACCAATTTTATCTCCAAAGAGATTAGTGCACTGACAAAGTATTCTGTTAACAGTGGTGGGCTATGGACAGCAGGGACCAAATCTCCCAACCTTGCAGATCCCAAGGCAGCTACGGCCTTCACTGATCACTCCCTTTGTCAGAGGTCCAAAAAGAACTTGCAGCATGATCACCTGCTGGCTGAACTTCCACTCTAAACAGCAAACTTTAAGGAGCCAAAAAGGAGTCCCCAGTGGGTAAGGGAAGCAGAGAAATATGTTAAATATAAACTTAAAAGACAGTAAATTGGGACACAACCCCCATTCAAATCCCAGAGATGGGGACAAGTCCCCAAAAGTAGTTGTTAAGATTTAAAAACTGAATATACCTCATTTCCCAAAAAACACAATACATAGAAATTTCAGGGGGTAACTGGAAAAATCATCAAGAGAAATGCTCAATGAAAATCAAGCTATCCAACTCAAACACTGCAGGATCGAAACACACCCTCTACTCATTCAGCCAACAATGCCTCTTGCTTCTTAGCAGGGACGCAGTTGGTCAAGGACACAAAATGGCTTTACAGAGCAACTTTTTAAACTTTCCTTCTGGGCCAAGGTTAGGCCTCTGCAGACTCAGGCAGCCCTGCAAGGCCTGTGAGCAGCAGGTTCCAAAGTTCCGAGGTCTGGTCCTTCCTTCCTGGACACAAGGGTAACACACAAACTCTCCTGTTAGGTTACATTTCATATTTTGAAATATGGAAGCATATTTTAAATACTTTTAAGGCATTTATTTATTAAAACATTGTCTGCCAAGATTTCACATTAGCTTAAAATTCAAATCAGTCTTTACCTCAGTGAATCACATAAAAGTGTCTTCTCCAGCAATCAGTGTTACCAGCATCCATATGGTGAGCCCATGGTCAGCTTCTCTGTTTCCTAGGTGAACCCACTAGATGTGAATACTGCTCTGCTATAAGGTAAATGCTCCTAACTCAAACTTATTGGTAGAGGAGTAAAACTTCTGCAAAATGCACTTTAAGAAGAGGTACCTTTTGCTTATGAAAAAGAAACCAGTAAGCCCTCTAAAAATAATGGGAGGGAGTATTTTACAGTTAAGCACATGATTTGGAGTGAAGAATTCAGATGCTGCTCTGCTGGTCCAGGCTGTTAATACTCTTCTTGTTCCTCCTGTGGTCCCCCTTCATCTGGTATCACAAAGCCTTCACCTGTGGCGTGGAGAATGTCCACAATGCTCTGCAACACAGGGTTGTTTTCCCCCTCATTCTCCTGGCAAATCAATTAGATGTTCCTTAGCTTTCCAAAGTAGAAATCTCTTTCTTTCTGCAAGTCTTCCACGGTGAGTTTCAATACGTTGACCTGCTGCATGAGTTCAGCTGCTTCATCATCTCTGTTGCCCACACTAGTATTCTTTTGCACCACACCCGGACCAGCCTTAGGGGTTGCAGTAGTTCTGTGTGTTGCAATGGGTCTCTGTGGAGCTGCACTGCTAGAGCTGAGAGGTTTCTTCAGTTTGTTCAGAGCTGGAGCAACAAGGGAGGGGGCCACTGAGGTTTCTTGACCTTGTCTGGCAGCTACAGGGTCATAGTCTTTTCCATCATAGTTTGCATCAAAAAACTTCTTGAACCACTGAATGAATTCAAAATTGTCCTGAAACTTTCCTTTTACTAATTTGTCCACAGGAATTATTTTGTCAACACCCATTCTCTTAAAACCTGCTTGCAGCATTTTGAAGTTCTGGATGTATTCATGTTCTAGCTTAGCTTGGAATTTCACTTTCTTCAAGGCAATGGAGCCAGGGAACAGCATGTCCATAAACTGACAATATGCAGCCCCTGAGCACAACTGTTTGATCTTTGTCATATTCAACTGCAGTGACTCATTGATACAGGCCAGCATGTCATGTCGACTGAGGTTATTGCTGGTGACTGATGTTGAATATACATTCACTGCCGTCTTCAGCTCTCGGCAGAACCCCGTCCACTGCCTGTGCCCGGCTCTGGTTCTGTCTTCATCTCTTTCAAAACCCCAGAAGTATAGGTTTTTATTCCAGCTCTTCTACTTTCTGTGTGTGTGACCTTGGCCAAGTTACTTAAAATCTCTATGCCTTAGTTTTCTCCTCTGTTTATGGGGATAATAGTACCTAGAGGATAATGATATTGTGATGATTAAATGAGTTAGTTCAGATAAAGATGCTTAGCATAGTGTCTAGCACAGGAAAAACATTATGTCATCATTACCAATAATTTATTTAAAATTAATGCAATTTATATAAACTAAAAATATATGCACTGAATATAATGACACACATTTTCAAAGCATACTTTTAAACTAAATATAATATTAAACATATTATAATGGCTATTTATAACTGATGAGGAAGTTAAGTGGAAAATTAAGATGAAAAGGAATGAATTAGTGAATTAATGAATTAAATGTACAAACAGGAGAGGGGCTTTACACAGGTTAGTGATTGATAAGGTCCTGTGAATTAAGGAATCCTTGAATTAATACTCTTTACCTGGTTGCAAAAGTAAAAGGAAGGAAGGGAGGAAGGAAGTGTTAAAGAAAGAAAGGTTTCCCAGTCCCAACATACATAAATCGAATCTCTTGGGTTTAAAATTATATAATTCAAAGAAATTTAGAGTCTTGAAGTTGGTATGTCAGTGGAACACCCATCATCTATTGCTCCCCGAAAAAATCAAGTTCAGAAACCCATACCTGTTGAAATGAACCACTTCTTCTCAATAACCAAAGGAACTGTTAGAGACATTATTCTTAGGTCCTTGAATATCAGTCTGGGGAGGAAAAATATCAGGTATAATTAATTTAAAAGAGATAGAGATAGCCTGGGCTGATGTGGCTCAGTGGATTGGGTGCCATCCCACAAACCAAAAGGTTATTGATTTGATTCCCAGCCAAGGCACGTGCCTGGGTTGTGGGCCAGGTCCCCTGTTGGAGTTGTGCAAAAGGCAACTGATCAATGGTAGAGATAAACATTGTTTTATTGAATCTTGATGAAAAAGCTGTTTTAGAAGTTTCAAAAAAATTAATTCCAAGCCATTTTCTTCCTCTCTACCTTCTACAAAATAATTCCTTGTGTAAAGGGGAAAAACCTTTCCCTCTTCCTAGTTAGATTCTTTCTCTGGTATAATAATTAGATTGACATAAAATGGATTAACAGAAAGCCAAATTTAATTATGCACATATGGCAAACCCAAAGATATGAGGCTCTGAGTTTGAGGTTTATGTGCCATCTTGAGCCAAGGAGAAAGGGTTAGGGGTTTGGGGATTCAAAGGGGGAGGAAGACAATTCACAGGAAGATGGAAAGAGCAAATATTTACTAAACAAATGTTTGCCATTCCATGCAGACAAGTCCAACATGAAAAGTTATTCCTGGAAACAGCTCTCTTCCTAATAGAGGTCCCCATCTAAGACAATTGAGGCAGAGGTAAAAAAAAAAAAAGACAAACAAAACATGAAACAAACAAACAAAAAACTCTATGAATCTGTTAGGTCTTAATAGCCTTCAGGTAAAAATAATCCCATGCCAAAGTAATGCCTTTTGGGTCATGTATTCTGCCCCTTCATTTGACAAATAGATGCATTCAGTGCTTTCTTCTATTAAACTCAGTGCTATAGCTGTTTTAGATGGACCTTTTAAAAAAAAGATGTAACTAAAATTAGGCACTGTGTTTGTTTAAAAACGTGTATTAGGAACTTTTAGGGTAATTTGCTGTTCTTTTTTGCCAGCTTAAACACCAGTTATCTTAAAAGGCTTAATTGTTAAATACAGAAGAAGATGAAAAATAACAAAGGGGTGATTTATTAGTCTTCTATTATACCCAAACCAGCTCTGATTTATGATAAGTTCCTTTCCACTGCATTTTTCTAATACAATCTTCTCTCTGAGTTCAAACCCCTTTACAAAGGTTAGTTCATTTTTCTTTATAATGTCCCCTTAAAGAAAGTAATCTCGATGATAGGATGAACAACAGAAGGAAAGTGATGGTTCATAGATATATGTATCAAGCTATATAAATTTGCATAGGATCATCTGTACTGCATTACTTCAGACACATACCCTGTGTTGTTGTATAGCTTTTTCATGAATATACGTATTTCTTCTCAGCTAATACATAAGCTCCTTCTGTTTATGAGGCATATGCTGTGTTTTCTCCTTGTTTGAGCTTTTCCCTGAGCCTGGTGTATTGAACTGAGCATACAGAACATAGCTAATAAATGCCTATTGAATATTTATTTGTAAAGAGTGACTGCTTCTTACATTACTGACATGCAAGTAGGATAGGCCCAGAACTTCACTGTCACAAATCACCTTTCATTTCTATCACAGATAAAAACAATAGACTCAAAGTGAGGCCCTTTTTCTGAAACCTGTAATGTGTAACATTGCTTCAATATGGAGGTAGTTAATTGGAGAATGATTTTAAAAGAGCACATCAAAATGTCATAATACCATAGAATATTAAAATATAGATTGACAGCATTCTACACTTGAATCCTATAAGAAGTATAGTTTCATGTATGCAAGATAAATAAGTTCAGATCTAATGTACAGCAATGTAACCATGGTTAATAAAATCTACTTGACACAATCCAGCACCATTTATGATTAAACTCTGAGAAAAGTGGGAATAGAGGGAACATACCTAAACATAATGAAGGCAATATATGACACACTCACTACCAGCATCATACTCAATGGGCAAAAACTATAAGCGTTCCCCTTAAAATCAGGAACAAGACAGGGATGTCCACTTTCTCCTCTCTTATTCAACAATACTGGGAGTCCTAGCCACAGCAATTGGAAAGAACAAGAAATAAAAGGCATCTCAATTGAAAAGGAAGTAAAACTGTTTTTATTTGCAGATGACATGATACTGAACATAGAGAGCCCCAAATTTTCCACCAAGAAACTACTAGAGTTCATAAATAAATTCAGTGAAGTAGCAGGATGCAAAATTAATATCCAGAAATCAGTTGCATTTTTACATGCCAATAATTAACTATCAGAAAAGCAAATTAATAAAACAATCCCATTCACAATTGCCTCAAAAATAATGAAATACCTAGGAATAAATGTAAGCAAGGATGTAAGAGAACTATACTTGCAAAATTCTAAGACACTGAAGAAAGAAATTGAAGAAGATACAAATAAATAAAAGCACATACTGCGTTCATGGATAGAGAGAATTAACATCATAAAAAATATCAATGCTACCCAAAGAAATCAATAGGTTCAATGAAATTCTATCATGATTTCAATATTGTGTTTCACAGAAGTAAAACAAATATTTCAAAAATTTATGTGGAACCAAAAAAGACCCCCACATATCAACAATGATCCTGAGAAAGAATAAAGTTGCAGAAATCATGTTACCTAATATGAAACTACAAGGCCATAGTCATCAAAACAGGTCCTGACATAAAAACAGACACATAGGTCCATGGAACAGAATAGAGAGCCCAGAAATAAACCCACACTTTTATAGTCAATTAGTATTTGACAGAGGAAGCAAGCACATGCAATGAGTAAAGGTAGTTTATTCAATAAATGGTGTTGGAAAAATTGGACAGATACATGCAGATAAATGAACATGGACAGCTTTCTTATACCACACACAAGAATAAATTCAAAATAGATCAAATACTTAAATATTAGACCCAAATCCTGGAAGAAAACATAGGCAGTAAAATCTCGGATATCTCTTGTAACAATACTTCATCTGATATACCTCCTCCAGCAAGGGAAACAAAAGAAAAAAATGCACAAATGGAACTATAGCAAACTAAAAAGGTTTTGCACAACAAAGAAAACCATCAACAAAATAAAAAGTAACCCACAGAATGGGAGAACATATTTGCCAATACACTTGATAAGGAGTTAATATCCAAAATTTACAAAGAACTTACAAAACTCACCACCAAAAAACAATCCAATTTATAAATGGGCAAAGGACCTGAAAAGACACTTCTCCAAGTAGGATATTCAGATGGCCAATAGACATATGAAAAGATGCTAGATGTCACTAATTATCAGGGAAATGCAAATTAAAACCATAATGAAATACCATCACACACCTGTCAGAATGGTTATCAGTAAATTAAAAAAAAATGCTGTCAAGGATGCAGAGAAAAGGGAACACTTTTTTGTTTGTGGGAATGCAGACTGGTGCAGCCACTGTGGAAAGCAGTATGGAGATACCTTGAAAAATTAAAAATGGATCTACCTTTTGACCCAGCAATTTCACTTTTAGGAATATACCCAGTGAAATAAAAAACACTAATTCAAAAGAACATAAGCACTCCTATGATTATTGCAGACTTGTTTGCAATCATCAAGATATGGAAGTAGCCCAAGTGTCCATCAGTAGATGAGTGGATAAAACAACAATGGACATTTGTACAATGGAATACTACTGGGCCATACAAAAGAAGAAAATTGTACTTTGTAACAGCATGGATGGACCAGGAGAACATTATGCTATGTGAAAGAACCCAGTCAGAGGGAGACAAATACCATATGGTCCACTCATATGTGGAATCTAACAAACAAAATGGACTAACAAAACAGAGATAGACTCATAGATGGAGAGCAGGATGACATCTAAGGTATGGAGGGGCATTAGTGGGTGGAGGGATTGAACAAAAAGGAAAAAGAACTCATGGACATGGACAACAGTGTGATGGTTGCGGGAGAAGGAGGGAGGTATATGGGGGTTAAATGGTAATGGAAAATACAATAAAATTTAAAAAATTAAAAATAGTGTATTATATACTTGAAATTTGCTAAGAGGATAGATTTTAAGTTTTCTCACCATACACACATATACACACAACTATAACTCTGTGAGGTAATGGATATTAATTAGCTTGA